ATTCAAGCTCTCTGGAAAAACTGTGTCATTTATTACAACACTTCAAAGCTGCGCAATGCTGTAGGTCACTGCCGGCTCATCCTAACACATTTTCAACAGTCCCTTCAGAACATGACATCCTTTGTAGCATCATGTCACCCAGGCTGCTGATATGATTGGTTGTGAAATGCGTAGATCTGCTGGTAGGGTGGCGGCACTGTTGGAGCAGATACGAACTACTCTGTGATTTTCATCTGTTGCTAGATGATGTGTGTGCTGCCGAGTGCACGGGGTGATGGCCTCCACTCCAAGACTGCATGCAACCTGTTAGAATGTGATCTCAAAGGTCTAAACTAGGCAAAGCTCAAATCGAGTACGCTCGATGGCAGCTCTGCGATCATTTGCTATGCCAGCGTGTCTCATGAGTTGAGGAGATGCAGCAGGGGTGAGACGGAAGGTATGATGGCAAGGTTCTGTTTAGTGTCAAATAAGTCGGTTGGCAAACTTGAGGGTATTTGCCCCTGGAGTTCGGGCTTTCCCATATGATTACTGTGTCATGTGTCATCTATTGTGCCTGCTGTGCGGTCTATTGACATCAGCCATTTTACTTAGCGGCCCTGTGTGTTGCAGAAGTTTGAGCCCCCTTTTCTTACTGTACATTCCATTCCCAAACAACCAGATCGGACTCAAGCGTGCCTCGGAAGTAGGCAATTTAGGTGTTCAAACTCCAGGGTGTCTCAAAAGTGGGAAGTTCACGGGCATGACGAATTTACTGGAGGAACTGAACAGTGTTGCAAAAAGTGCACACAGAGCGTGGGCAGCATTCCAATACATCATTGGTGCCAAAGTACGGAATACCTTGCGTTCTGGCTCCCCAGTGACCCAGGCGACATGGGCTCATCACAAACACTGGTAAAATACTAAGAAACTGGAAGTGGCACATAGCTTACGGGTGCCCCAGTGACACCAGCACATCACGTACACTTGAAAAACAGCCAGAGCCAATGAGAAAACATTACAGAAAAGCTGGAACTGTACGAGCAAATATAGCCACCAGATTCGGTGGCAGTGTGACAACACTAGCCCCCAAATCTGGCAACTGACTTCTGCGACACCAAATAGAACCTTGCCAGACCATAGACTGTCGCGCCGCCGAGCCGAATTCAGGGGCGTCCTCTCAAGGATGGTCAGTAGGCAAATGCTCCTTTGTTGGGCTGTAGTAGCCTCAGCGCCAACACACTAGCAAGAAACGAACACTACACTATCCACTTTGCATATTTCGTGCATCAGCTAATAAATAAGACCTTCCGTGAGACAATAAATCTGATTCACTTTTGCAAGATGTGAAGTTGTCGTGAAGTGAAAAACATGGTAACTCGCGCTTTCGATTATAACCTACAGTGTACACATATCAGCTTCCCGAAATTTTCTGGGGCCACATAGTTACTTAGATGTCATCGTCAGATCTTTGAAGTTGAAACTTGCCTTGTTTTACTTGCATATAGCATCATCAGTGCTTTTGTAGTGCATGAATCCCACAACATTCATTGTATGCGAATAGTCGCGCGCGGGCTCATGACTTGCTCTCAAGAACATTGCCAACGCTGTGCCACTTTTTTTGTGTGTTTGTTGATACATCACAGCACACTGCCAGCAATTCGCTTGTGAACGGGTTTTAGAGTGAAAAGTGGTAGGTGTTCTTTGGCGAAATGTTCTTCGTGCCCAGATAAGTGTGGTTAGTGACACGGTGTTGGCATAGTCGAAGTCATTCGGCGAAGGGAATTCCTCAGATTGCTTTCAGCAGTGATGTTGACAGAAACCATCGTGACGACGATTTTTTTACTGGACATAGAAGATTGTGAACACACTGATAGTGACAGCAAAGATGAACGGTTGATCAGCTGCTAACTCACGAGGAGCGAGTTGAACTTCACATCCCCTAATGCGTTGATGTTTTTTCACGTTAAAATTCACTTTGATAGTATTTAATGTATATTATCCCTCAGCAAAGCCAAAATAAAAGCAGTTTTTCTTGTGCATTGCATGTAGCTCTATTACAGAGTATTTTATGGAGCGCTGCATATCGCCAACATGCTTGAGCTTAACCAGAGAAGCAAATGGTCAGAGCGATGAAATGTGCAGTTACGACTACAATTCACCCCTCTCTGTTAACTTCTCCAGCACTTAACCAGTACCTTCTAAACTGCGTTGATCAACAAATTTCCGCAGTCTTCATGTTGTGAAAAGCATACGTGTGTATTTTTTTCGATAACCTTGTTTCGATCACACTGATGGAATCTGCAATATCCGAGTGCAGTGAATTGCACATGGTAAGAGTCTGAGCATGGCTGCGACACAAGGGCTACTTAATGGGAAGTTAAATGCTTGTGTTCCATTGAAGATGCTACTTTATGTTGCGGACAATGCACAATAGCGATTGCGTAATATGTTTGCAAACAATTGCCATGTTAAACATTGAGTCCCACGCAGCCGCGATGCCACGCTACTCGCCAGTGACCTACTACTGCGGTAAATCCATTAGGCAGGCTCGGTACCAATTAACTCAGAGTGCCGTTCAGCTCATACGTCAATTCCAGTTTGCCCAGTTTTCTGTAGCACGCACAGGCTTATGCAAGGCATCGTTGATGCATGGTAAGTCAAGCGTTGCAAAAATACCCATACGACGGCCCGGTATCTCGAACCGAAAGTCAATGCAGACGAGTGCCGTAGCCCAAAATCCGTTGAGTGGGCCACGATTTTGCTATCCACGTATTGACTGTAGTGGCCTTGGTACAGGCTGTTTCATACTTAAGGCAAAACTCTGAGTGCCTGGAATCGCGATGCGACTAGCGTTTCAATCGCGCGCCGGCAGAAGCTCAGGCATGCGCAGTCGTCGCTTCAAAGGTGTAGAGTTGAATCGCCTCGTCTGCTACGGCAAGGTGCGAGCCGCATTGTTTGCCAGGGCACGGATATCATTTTTAATGCGGCAACTGGGCTGATACTCTGCACTAATCATTTTCAGAAATGTCTGCACCGCATGATAAAATACGGAGAAACAAGAAGCTACAAACTCACGCTTGATTTCCTACTTCGTGGCCCCCCTACCCCCCCACCCCCTCCTGCACAGTTTTTTTTTTTTTTTCAGGTGTTCCATCACCAACTTGCTCAAATTTCAATGCTTGTCAGCACTAGACGTTGTGCAATGCCGATCCCTCTGCCTTTATTCGTGATAATGGGACACAAGAAACAGTATCTGACCGCATACCTTCTTGGCTATACCGAAACATTGTGGCACTGTGTGCGTTCACAAATGTTTCTTCATTGTGTGCGCCCTGCAGTAAGCTTGGATGAGGAAGACACGATAATGAGCATGTACCGTGCGTGGTCTCTATTTGACTTGAAGTAAAACAAAACACTCAGTGGTGACTGCTGAGCAACTGAGCGGGCTTAACACAACAAAACGAATAGAAATGAATTCAGGAATGATTTCGGATAGAACAACCATCTGAACGAGCTTATTCTTGATATTTCACAACAGAAAGGTCTAGCTCCTGGCGCCGAAATGCACTCGTGACGCTTCCAAGTTGATGTCCCTAGCGGCAGTGATGATAGCGCTCATTCTAGACGGCAGTGAATGCACGGTGTCAGCGATGTGTTTCGCGGCAGCATGCCCCATTCATTGAAGATGGGGACGTGGCATCACAAGATTCAGATTGAGCTGAATTAAACAGGTGCTCGTCTGCCATACGTTTTCCCATTTTTTCTTGTCTGAAAAGAGCAGTACTACATTCTTTGCCAGATTTATCATGTCCCGTATACCAGAAAAACAGCGACTTAAGATTATTGAAGTATGCTCTAAAACTACACAGCGCGAGCTGCTGACGGCGCGTGGTTGCAGCGCTGGCCCCATCACGATGCCACGCGCTTCGAGATTTCCTCTAAGCGCGAAACAGCCTGTACATGACATGCTAAATTTGTGGTGCGAATGGTTTGATGATGCCGTAGCCTAAACGTTAACAAAACTTCAAAAAGTGTTTCAGGGTTTTTTCAACTTAACGCGCCTAATCACACCATGTCCTGTCACAACTGAAATGATTAAAATAAAACTAATAAGGTTACATTTACTAATTTCTAAGTTGAAAAACACTGAAAATAGTGGTGCGAAACTACAGATCGCGGAATGCGCGCCCCTGAACTTCTCCGAAGCTGCCACAGGGGCACTGGTCATTGCTTCGTGCGACGCCCATATCGCACGATGCATTTTCTGTCGTACTGACCCACCAGGACATAAAAGTCTCTTGCGATTAGCACACTTGCGCAGGCTACAGAAAGTGCACAACAGTGGTCGAGCCAAATGAAAAATGCATCACGCGACACTTAGAATCGGCAGAGAAGCGACATGTATAAAATTACAGCTCAAATAATTCCATTGCTTATCAAAAGTGTACCTCCGTTCACGCAGTACACAACTGCTGTAGAGTCTTCGTAACGGCGAAGCTGCGCTGGCTGTGCGTCGACTTAAGAAGCTCCAGCCACAGCAAACGAACATTACAGGGGAGCCCGCTTAAAGAAAGAACGGGCCGACCACCTGCTTCCCGTTCATTTATCACTGTCGAAATGCCGAAGCCTAAAAGCAGCGGCCGGTCTGCTTTTACAAGTAGATCATGCACCCACCGCAAGCGTACACGCACTGCATAGCACAGTAACCACAGCCAACACGCCTAGAAAACAGGACAAATCCTATCCTAAACCCACGTAAAAAAAGAAAAAGCGCACGCTTCCAGTGTTGCTAAATGACTGAAAAAAAAAGTCAGTTGTGTGACTTTTCAAAAATTGTTTCCAGAATGTTTGTAAATCAAATATTTATTTTCACCATGTATAAAATTTTAAATAAAAACAGGTGTCTAATGGCAGCTTCATTACTATGTAGTTGTTTTTTTTTTATATGGTCGTTAAAATGAAGATTTTCTCCATGATGGTAAACACCCATTCTGCAGCATTTACAGTCGATCCAATCCAATTTAAAACAGCAGTCAGCAGTTCAAAGTTTCTATATACTTTTCTTCATTACGAAATAAGTAATTATGAACAGCGGTGCGACAAAACAAGCCGTAGTTAAAGCTGTACACTGAAGATTTCAACTTGGTTATTGACTAGGTTAGGAAGCACATACTTTATTTCATGTTTTTCATTTGTTTTCCTACGGAACTATGTCATCGTTAAAGCACCCCTCTTTAGAGAAGCGCATTGATGATTCCGCAGCTAATCCCGTAATTAAAAAGATTTCTTCGAGAATTTTGCCTGGTGCCTTAGCACCTGCAAATAAAGATGCTGTTGACTGGTAAGTTCACGCCAATATTTATATCTTTTGATCGGACACTGCTTGCGGCTTAAAAGGGATGTTGGGTCATTTGGGATAACTACCACATTTCACTTACAATACTTTTAAGTGATTGATCGAACTAATTATTTGCTTTCAGGAATTTCGAGTCGCTTCTTGCGTATGGTTGTCACAAGCACGTAGTTGTTATCGACACAAAGTATGCACAGGTGAGCACGACAGCTGGTAATGACGATTGTATTTTGTGATAGCACCGCGGCCTGACTGTTGCCTGCAAATATTTACAGGTCTTCCAGACTTTGACTGAGCACCAGCACAATGTGACCAAGGTATGGCCTAGTGAAATATGACAAAGTTTCGCTGAAATGTGCAGGTTCGAAAAAGATCGAGGCACTTCTTGCCTACACACTCCTATATATCCCTACACTTTTTAAATGCTGGAACACTAGTTCATAGAATAATCTGTGTGGTACCATAATGTAAAGGATCTTAATTATTCAGTGATTACGGTGGTGTCAAACTATGCACTAGTCGGATCAGTACGTACGAAAGAATGCCATTGTGATTTTCTATGTAGCCTTGAAAATTTTCAAACAATAACTGCCCTGTCAAGTGCCTTTGATGCTACGGGAACATTATATTCAACTACGAAATGATTTGTTAAGCAGGGGGGCTTCACCGCATTGGGAAACCTTGTTGCTCCATTGCTCAGTGCCCTGTGGAAACATATTATTAGACGTTAATTAGAAAAATATTAGCACGGAATTGTTTCAGTGGAAAGGCATATCTTAGGGTTGCCAGTACTGCTACTTACACACACGAACAAAAGGCTTCAGAACAGGGAACATGATACAACTATTTTAGTGAGCGAAAAAAAATGATGCGGGCATGCAGACATGAACACAATTAGAAGACAAATGTTCACTGTCAACTAAAGGGGCACACTAGGTGTAAAAAAATAGTTTGACAGGTCATGTTGCAGTGGTCTAGTGGTTAAAGTACTCGGCTGCTGACTCGCAGCCAAGTACCGAGGAATCAAATCCCGGCTGCAGCGGCTGCATTTTTGATGGAGCGAAAATGCTGTAGGCCCGTGTGCTCAGATTTGGGTGCACGAACCCCAGGTTGTTGAAATTTCCGGAGCCCTCCACTTTGGTGTCTCTCATAATCATATGGTGGTTTTGGGATGTTAAACCCCACATATCGATCAATCAAGAATAGATTGAGAGAGAACTGAGCCTTTTGATTGAAAGAACCAACAGAGAACTGAGCTCATTCAAAAATAGAAACATGTACACAAGAAGGAAATTAAGACCATATATGGGCGTAAGATTTGTAACTCACTCAAGAAATTTATTTTACACTTAGAGACTCACTGAAGTCTTCCTCAACGGGACTGGCTCGCACTTGGATTCAACAAACTTTTTGCTCACCCAAGCTCACTTCCCCTTGCCTCACTCATGGCTTGACCCAAGTCTGAGTTAGCATCGAGTTAGTTGACTCATAAGTCCGCTGACATAAAATTAGCTTTTCCAGTCATGGTGTGAATTCTCTTTAATGCCAATAGGAAATTTAGCTTGGATGTATACTGAACCGTTTTACCGGATTGTGTTCACCGTGCTACTGAAATGCGTGCTTTTCAATGTTCTGGCTTTCCATACGTAAAAGTTTGTGTACGTATGTAAACTTATGCATTTATGTGAATCATAAATGTTCATGGTAACTGCATTTAAACTATATTCAACTTAGATAAGATTGAATCACCATTGCTGCAAAATCACGAGAAATGTTCTGCCAGTACAGTATCCTCGTATGCTCAAAGGGGTGAAAAAAGTACAAGGTTATTGGATCGTGATGTCGACATCTTGTGACATTTCATGCAATTACAGTCATGAACACATTCGTTTTGGCCCTAATGATTTTTAGGTGAAACATGAATAAAAAGGTAACTCATTCATAAAAATATGGACCATCTCCCCAAAAGGAACCCCAATGGGATGTGAAGCAGCAGCGGTGCGCATGGCGTTGACCCCCATTGAAACGGGCATCGACGCGGGTGCTGGAAGCGAAACTCGGTGTAGTGTTTACTTTGGTATACGTTTGTTTGAAATGGAAAGACACAGGAAGTGGTTTGGGTTTCGTGTAAGTTTCATCACAAATAAATGAGCCGAAAGAGTAGACAGAATTAGTCGCATGTCCGCAGCAGTGGTACGGATGCAGCCTGCTAGCCATTTGTAATAACAGGCCACGTCCGTACGGCTGCTGGGGACGCGCAAATAAATCTGTCTAGTGTTTCTAGTCGACGTTCGGTTGAGCATTGCGGCCGGTGGAGAGAGCACCCCTTAATTACTTAATGCCGCTGATCAATAAATATTTAAATCATGTATGAATGATACTGCTTTACAATACATCTGAGTAGATGTGAGTATACACATGAATACAGGCCAGGCCGATAGTAATGCTGAAGATGAGTGTATAGGAATCCCATAAACCAGCAATAAAAAAGTGGAACTCACTTGGAACTCAGACTTGCCAAAATTTTCGTGAGCAGCACTCTCTTGGACTCACACTCATGAAAATTTTCTTCCATCCGACTCACTTGGACTCAAATCACCGAAATCTTCGGAACTCACTCAGACTTACCCCCGTATTCAAAAACACTCCTCGACTAGACTTTCACCCTTCACTTGACAGAGTGGAGCGCTGCGCCACTTCTCGGCTGAAAATGACGCTGTGCTGCTCGAGAATCGAACCACATTATTGCTGATATGCAGTGACTTTCCGTACCAAGAGAGGGTGCTTCCATTGGCTTTCTCAAGTGAAGGTGAAGCGTTGAGTGAAGGGACGTTCTAGAATACGGGGGTTAGACTTACGGCTGGATCTTAGTCTGAGTGAGTCAACTCATAACTGAGTTCACCGACCTGTACTTCACTGTCTCTTGCTTGTTATGCTAGCATGTGCTTCTCCTGACTTGTGAACAAATTTACGAACAAAGAATACAAGTTCAACAATATCTAGTCCAGAAAAGTAGTGAGTTTTTTTACTAGCTTATGACTCTTTTTGGCTTACTAATGGAAGTAAGCATACACAATTGTTTTTTACATATATGCAGGTTAGCTGGTCCCGCAACTTGCATTACCATGACCTGGTGAACCCATATCACCTGAAGCTGGCCAGTGCAGATACTTCTGGCACAGTGCTGGTGTGGGATGTCACCCAGGCTACAGTTCGTAGTACCCTCACGGAGCCGGATCGAACAATTCTCGGCAAGTACTTGGGGAAGTTTTAAGATAGTCAGACATTTTTTTTTTTTTTTTCAAATTCTAGATGACTTGATATAGCCATTAGCATAGAAAGAAACAAAGACTTCCTATTTTTTTAATTAAGAAAATTAGTTAACTTTTGAAAGGTTTATAGTGAAGTGCCTAAATAGGAAATAACTGTAGTAGTACTTGCTGTTGGGCTAGTTGGTGCATGTCTTAATTCAATAGTCAATCTAATGGTAATATCACGACCTTGCTGAAATATGCAAAAACACATACACAGGACGGGGGCTTACTTCTAGCTGCTTAATGTTGGAGGAATACAAGCTAATAAATCCACTTCTCGCCAATGCAAGCGCAATGTGTTTGGGCCATCGTCTACCCAATCACTATCTGACACTTTCCGGGTACCGCACTTTCAACTTGGACAGGTTGATTGAAGTCTCGCTTACACATTACTACCCTACTTCTGTAGGAAAAATGACTCCGAAATTTGCCGTGCTGCCTTGTTCTTTATTTGTCCCTAAATGCAAACCTCCTTGAAGTGTGGCATGTATCCACATGATGTCACATGTGTGCTGAAACGCGCACTGTCCTTATTTCTTACAGTGAGAGTGTTCTCTTGCTCGTTTATTTACACAGCGCCCTGTCTGGTGAACATAGCTCTTTCCGCGCATTAGAGGTATTTCACAAACCACTTAAGTGAAAGAGGGTGAACTTCATCGCCGAATAAAGCAGCTGCTCGAAGACAACGAAAGATCTGTCGAGGGCGCGCTGTTATGTGAGTTGTTTTTACGACGACTACTGGGTAACGTGCTGATGGTTCTGGTGACAGCTTCTACCATGGACTTCACTAGACTTACTGTGTTGGCAAACATGATGAGGGAAGTAGCCACTATAGCCCCAACCATCACAGCCACAACTGGTGAAAGTACAACCATGTTGTGAACTCTGGCCTCTTCTGCGACAGTACAATAACCACTCTACGACCTGTGTGAGCATCTCGTACTCATTATCTCTGCAGCATAACAACACCACGCCTCACCCTGCTGTTCATGCATCCGAAATTTGTGGGGAAGCGCACGTGCCCATGCTTCCTTTTACTTTACGGCAGCCCGGCTAGTAGAGCTGCGAAGACACATCGATCCCTTTGAGATACAGAGATGAAGTCTTTTCCGGAGGGTCATTCACCTCGCGGCCAGCACGCGCTATCTCCCTTCTCGGCTCGCGGAATGAGTTATTCTTCCTCGATATGGGGAAGCAACCCTCGCTGGTGAAATGAAAACGGGACAGTGAGCAAAACAAGCAAGCATAGATGAGAAGAGCTCTCGCTTGCACCAGTGATGGTACAAGGACGACCGACCGGGAAACCCTGCGAGCCACGGCGATCGGCCAAAGGTGTAAGCCTACTTTTTTTTATCTTCATAGAGCACTACCTCTACGCAACATTCATGCGTTATTGCTAACATAGCAATAAATTGCTGTTTTGTTGAACTAGCCTGTTGCCTTATTCGCCCAAACCTGTCATAGCTATGATAACTCGAGCTACGGGAAGAAGATGTTAATCGTGCACGATACTACTGTGTGTGGCTGGAACATTAGCTAGGCTTCCGCACCAGCCGTGCATAGGCCAGACCCCTTCAAATTCCAGCCAGCCGAGTATGCATATGAGGTCTATTAAAAAAGTATCTGATTTTTGGTGAAAGAAAAAGAAATTGGCATGCATAATTAGTGTGTGGGAAACCAAATTGAGTTATTTCTGTTATGGCTACAAGAATGATGATTGCTTTGTCGTTGTGATGCAGTGCCCCAAAGTGACTTTTTCTGGCTTTACCTCGTTGTGTCTACTGCTTTCCGGTGATGTAGATGAACCCAGGACCTGTGGGGTCTCGAAATGGTCAGCGCCACGCCACGCTCTTGGAGTGAACAGACACAGCAGACACGGTCAGGACAAACCAAATAATACACACATTTATGTACCTGCTTTTAGAGCGATGATATCGTCAGCCGAAATATAACAATCAGTTATGATCCACACGCTAAACAACCTTACACAATATTACCATACACTCAACAACATAACATATACAAGGCGACGAATGCTTGACTGACCACGTGGGCCCACCGCAGATGGCCGGCAGTGCCGTCCACGGCAGACCCACCGCTGGAGGCAACCGTCTGCACTACCGCCCTACGCCACTAGAGACCAGCTTATTTCTTGCAGCTTATCTCTTGCGCGCCACCACCAAGGCTTCCCGCCAGGCGTCGCCGCCAGTGCTAACGTTTTCTAACCATGATGATGATGGTGGCAATCACCGCACGTGAAGCTAACGTTTTCTAACCATGATGATGATGGTGGCGATCACCGCTCGTGAACACAATGCCACCTACCATCCGTGACCCCGAAATACGGCTTCTGTGCGAGACACATGCGCCATGCGGCGCAAACAACTTTACAGGGGGTGTCAGCAACCCCACAGGCCAGAAACGAAAACAATGTTAAATTGATTGATTTGTGGGGTTTAACGTCCCAAAACCACCATATGATTATGAGAGACGCCGTAGTGGAGGGCTCCGGAAATTTTGACCACCTGGGGTTCTTTAACGTGCACCCAAATCTGAGCACACGGGCCTGAAAACAATGTTAAAGGAGTTGTGTGATAGGCAAAAGGCGATACAAGCCGATCTAGAAAGCTTGAGCAAGCGGCTGAAGCAGCCTTAAAGCGATTAAAAAACAAGCGAGTATGATAGCTCAATTTTAAAAAACAGTTAAGCAATTATAGACTACGCTTCGTAAGCAGCAAGAAAGAATACGACAGCTTCGAGGGCAGAAGTAGGTGAAATAACCTAATGGTATTTGGAGTACCAGAAACCGACAAGGAATTTGTCGCCGACCCTGAAGCGAAGGGGCTAGTAAACGTATTCCAGAAAAGGCTTGGTGTCAACCTGAGTACCGTGGATCAAATACCCAGGATAGGAAAGAAAAGTGCGAGGCGTTGACCTGTCATTCTCAGGTTGTACGACTACAGAGAAAAAGCTGAAGTTTACAAGCAGTGCAGAAAGCTGATAGGCAGTGGCATGTCTATATCGGATAACTTTTCGAAAGAAACATTGGCAAAACGTAAGATGCTCTGGGATTCTGCGGAACAAGAAAGGGACAGTGGGCATCATGTGCGCTTGAATTATGACAAACTTCACATGGACTTGGACATGTACACATGGAATCATTCAAAGAACAGCCGCGTGAAGGTTCAGCGTCTGAAAAGACATGATGCTTCTGTCAAGGATGACTGACAGGAATAAAAATGTGATCTGAGTACATTACGCTTGATTAATTTGAATGCAAGAAGTCTGGCTAACAAGGTTGGACACCTGGAATACATCCTGGCTTACTATTATCCTCATGTCATTACGATTACTGAAACTTAGCTGCGGCCCAAAATAAAAGACCAAGAGCTTGTACCAGCGAACTATGAATTCATTCGCAGGGACCGGGATGCAAGTGGTGGCGGAGTTGCTCTAGTGATCAAAGCTGATATAGACTGTGTACAAATGCCTGGTATTTGAACACACGAAAGTGTTTGGTGCCAAATTAAAGTAGGAAAAACAACGATAATTCTTGGCACAGTATATAGACCACCTAACTCCCCTATTTTGTATCTCGAAAACATACAGCTTTACTTGAAAGGCCTATAAATTCGCAGCTCTAGAATTATTATTTCTGGGGATTTCAACTTACCAGACATCGACTAGTCTAAGCTTGGCGCGGAGCCTTGCGAAAAAAAAAAAAAAAAATGGGAACTGCTCCTAAAAATAGCCTTCAGTCATTATTTACAACAGGTAGTTGAAGAGTGCACACGTTTAATTGGGAAATCGGGGTTGATTTTGGATCTGGTGTTCCTGGACGGATGATTTGAAGAATATGATGCATTAGCATAGGCTGGCATTTCAGATCATAAGTTAGTTTGTTTGGAGATAAAGCATACCACCTTGTGCTCAAGGACTGACAGCACAAATATGCATGTCCTAAATTTTGTCAGACGTGATTATACAAGCATTATTGATCACCTTTCGCTATGTTTAGTTAGCTTCAGTCAAACGAATGACATCAATGCAATGTGGGCTGAATTTAAAAATGTTGTATTTCACGGCATCGGTAGATTTGTACCAATGAGAAAAAAGAAAAAACATAATCAGCTATGAACAGAAATTAGCCATGAACGATAAAAGTTAAGAAAAAATCACAATCAAATTTTGGCACTTAGCACTGCATTGCGCACGAAGCTGACTGCTGCTAAGAAAACCTTCTATGATGTTACATTGACTGGTTTTATGAAGGACGATTCACACTGTTTCTGGTGCTATGTGTCAGTGGATAATGAGGGTCCTAAGAACATTGTCATTAATGATAACTTGTGACTAAATGCTCTCGTGTTGCAACTTGTTTTAATGATTTTTTTCTAATCTGTCTTTACTGATAGTTCTGAAAGTTATTTTTTATTCTTTGCACTACAATCCCTATACATTTCACCAGTGTCTGAGGTAAATGTGTCCTATGAAGGTATTGTAGCACTTGTGCTTGATATTGAAGATAAGAAATCCATAGGTCCTGATGGTATACCATATGCGTTTTTACGCAGGTATTCCGAATAGGTAGGCCGCTATAATGAGATTATATTTAAGGCATCGCTAGCACAGAAACGAATCTCAGATGTGTCGCAAAAGTTGTTCCGGTCCACAAATCAAGTGGAAATCAAGACATAGTAAACTATGGGCCCATTCATTTTGGTGGGTGTTCTGCAAGCTTCTTGAGCACATAATATCAAAATCAATCTATGGTTACCTTGAAAATAAGAAGGCGTTTTTTTCTGATCAGCACGGCTTTCGACAGAACCTATCCACTGTTACACAATTGATAGAAACAATTAACAGGGTGTCTGCAAACCTGGAAAAGCTGGAAAAGTCAGGGAATTTAGACCCTTCTAGAAAAGTAATGGAAAAGT